CTTTCAAGTTAGGCAACCCTTGGACAAGTTACTTAACTTCTCTGCAATTCTTTTTCCTCGTGTGGATTGGGCATAATAAGAAGAACGACTTGCTATGTGAGGCATTCAAGCAGGATAAACTGCTTAGCAGAGTGCCTGGCACAAGTAAGCACTATGTTCACAGAAATATATAAACCACAGTTAAGGTGCTATATTTGTTGGGGCAGAGGCTAAGCTGCTGTAACAAATAGATCCAACCATACCATAACTCAGACGCAATAGAAATGTTTTCTTGTTTATGTACAGTCTAGGGTCAGTGTCAGGTTGGTGAGTGGCTCTCCTTATAGGAATTTGGGACTGAGGCTCCTTCTACATTGTGATTCTACCATTTCCTAAGGTCTCCAGCCAGTGAAAAGGGAAAGAGAATGGAGGAAGCTGGAAATGGCTCATATCGCTTCCTTTCATGTACCAGGGAAAACAAAAATGATTCTAGTATTTCCAAGAGTGTTTTTTTTTTTGCATTACGCGGGCCTCTCACTGTTGTGGCCTCTCCCGTTGCGGAGCACAGGCTCCAGACGCGCAGGCCCAGCGGCCATGGCTCACGGGCCCAGCTGCTCCGCGGCATGTGGGATCCTCCCAGACCGGGGCACAAACCTGTGTCCCCTGCATTGGCAGGCGGACTCTCAACCACTGCGCCACAAGGGAAGCCCAATATTTCTTTCTGTTTTTTTTAATTTTTGTTTTATATTGGAGTATAGTTGATTAACAATATTGTCAGGTGTACAGCAAAGTGATTCAGTTATACATACACGTGTCTATTCTTTTTCAAGTTCTTTTCCCATTTAGATTATTACAACCGCTGCGCCACCAGGGAAGCCCTCCACGAGTGTATTTAATACAAGAGATTGGACACAAAAATGTTAGGAGGGCTCTAGGAACAAAACACAGACAGTGAGGTTACCCAGAGATGTCTAATTAGGGGACGCCATTACCACCAGTGGGCTGGAGGGGTAAAAAGGAAGACGATGCTCTCCGGAGCCCCTGTTCATTGCATTGCGAAGGCAGCTGGTGCACCTGCTGCTGTCACTACTAGAACCACCACCACTGCTGCCCTGCAGGAAGCCAGGAGCTCACTTGCTGCTGAAGTCACTTGCTGCTGCTGTTGACACTGCCAGACTTAGAGTTCAAGGGCACCAGGCTGCTGAGGCTGCTGGAGTGCCAGCCACCTACCACGTCTGGAAGAGTGCTGTTTGAGCAGGAACCCAGGAGCCTGCAGCCACTCATTGTTTTTGCTGCTCTTACAACTGCTGGAGAAAGAAAAAAAAGGCTTCTCCCTTTTGTCTTCCAAACTCCCACCAGTGCCTCTGATTGGCAAAACCTAAGGGGAAGCCAGCTGAAAAAGGAGTCTAAGAAATGTAGATTACAGGCTTCCAGCTCCAGGTTATACAGAGGAGGGCAGAGTAGGACGAGAACAGAGTTAGAGCAAGCAGATAAGCGGCTGGTATTATAAATTCAGAGTACTGAGGACTGTAGTTTCAGCCACCTTCTTCCAGTGTTTACTGAGAGATGCTCAACTTCAAAACTAGCCCAAGAATCTCTCTACCCTCCCAATAGATTTCTACAAAGAGGACGGAAACCGGAGGAGATTATGATTGTAAAGGGAGGCAGACTGTCCTCGCCCCTCATTCCTTGTGAGTGTATTCATCTGGTTCCCTTCCTGATAGCTCTTGGAGGGAGATCCCAGAAATTAGCTCATGAAGTTTTGGGGTATCCTCAATATAAAGGAAAAACCTGTTTTCTGCTTCCTGTGTCTTTCTTTCCTGTGTGTCTCCTTTACTCTCACATCACTACCACACTCACACAGAACACTTCACTTTTGACCCTTCTGGTCCCCACACCAAAACAATTCTCTGGGACACAAGCTGGGTGGCTTAAAATTTAACTCAATTCTGATGCTATCTACCTGGAGATAGAGCCTGTGAGATCCCACGGTTAAGGGCTCAGGCTTACAAACTGCTCCCATATGAACCTCCCATTCAGATGCCAATCACAAGTAGTAGGTCCCCACATCGCTCAAAATTTCTATCCCACTTGGCTACAAATCATGGGTTTCCATGACCCCCTCCTTGGGGTTGATTAATTTGCTAGAGCCACATGCAGAACTCAGGGAAATACTTACGTTTACCACTTTATTAAAGGATATGATAAAGGATACCGATGAACAGCCAGATGAAGAGATGCATGGGGCAAGGTATGTGGGAAGGACGCAGAACTTCTGTGTCCTTTCCAGGAGCATCACTCTCCCAGCACCTCCAGGTGTTCACCAACCTGGAAGCTCTCCAAACCCTCTCATTTTGGGGTTTTTATGGAGGCTTCCTTACATAGGCATGATTGACTATGTAATTGGTGATCAATTCAACCTCCAGCTGATCTCGGGTGGCCTCGCCCTGCAGCGACTTGAAGCAGGGTTTCAGTTCCTGGCCAGAGATTGAGGTCGGGTCTCGTCAGTCAGAGCACCAGATCCTAGCCACTGACCAGTGGTCAGTGACAAGGCCCTGGCCCTTCAGCTTTACAGAAAAGAATTCCCACAAAGATGGAAAGTAGTGAAACAAGTAATTATTAGGAGGAAAAAGAGTACAGTTACGTGGATGGACACACAGGTGGACTCAGAGAGAGAGAAAGTCGCACCCTCGTGGTAGTTTAAATCACTTATATGGGGCATTTCTTCCAGGTTTCCTTTGGCCAATCATTTTGATTTGCCTGGTTCAGAGTCCATATTTGGTATATCTCAGGATCCTCCTATGTGTGTGCGTGCATCTCTCAGCCAAGATGGATTCCACTGAAGAGGACTATGGGTAGTTGACATCATCTACTATGAGGTGGCACCCCCTCCCCTTTTGACCTCCAGGGAGCCTTTCTGCGCATGTGTAGTCAGGGAGGTCTCCTTGATTTTCGGGAATGAGAAATATGTGGTCTCTTATCTTTTATCTGGGCAGGGCCCAACCTCCTCTCTCAATTGTCCTGCCATTCTCTTGGAGTATCCATCCACAGGGAACGAATCTCCAATTGCTTTCCTTGGGGGGCCCATCTACCTCCTGCCTCACAGCCCTTCTCCCCTCCCAGGAGGTCAAGGGATGGGAAAGAATGTTCCAACCCTACAACCAAAGGGTTGGTTCCCCTGGCAACCAGCCCCATCCTTAGGTGACCCGAGGGCATGCCAGAAGTCACCTCATTAACATGACAAAAGACACCATTCTCTATCCATTTAGGAAATTCCAAGCATTTTAGAAACTGTGCTGTCAACGAAGACCAAATATATATTTCTTATTATAATTCACAATATCACACTCAGGAAGGGGAATTGACTCATTTGTCAGTTCTCTCTCAGTTGACCCATAATATCATCTGCCTCAGTGCTGCAACGGCAAGGGTAGGATGATGTCGGAAAAGGTATCGGGGAGAGATGATGTAGTGACAGTGCCAATTGGAGAGAGAAAAGAGCGTGCCCTGGAGTGGTCAGTTCCTGAGAGTTACGGAAGACAGATCTCACAGTCCAGCACTGATCCACTGAACTTTTCGCGACAATGGGAAAGTTCTACCTCCATGCTTATCGCTTATCCGATATGGTAGCTATTAGCCACTCGTGACTAGCACTTGAAGTGTGGCTAGTGTGAATGAAGAAACAATTTTAAATTTTTATTTAACTTTAATCAATTTTAATTTAAATAATCACATATAGGTCATGCTTATTAGATCAGATAGCACCAGCTGCCGAACTTGAAGCTGGAGATAAAGAGACTACATAAGATTGGGAGCTGCAGGCTTGCTGGGACCATTGCAGAGGAACCCCACGTGCTGCCAGCTGGGAGTCAGCAGACAAATGTGACTATGTTTCAAGAGCCCATCCATAACTGAGAGGATGGTTTAGGATCAAATCTCTCACCAGCAGAGCCTGTAGGGAGCTCACTGCTGGCTCTTGAGTCTACAGACCATGAATTGGATTAGTGGTGGCGAGGCTGAAATTCAACCAGAACACGCTGTCGACTAAAAAATTATTCACAGTCTAAAAGTTGAGAGTTATCTTTTATTCTGTAAAGGAGCAGGACCCTATGGGGCCTTCCTGGGACAGGCCTTCCCCCATATCCTCTGCTTTAGCTCCTCTCTGAAGTAGCTAGATAACAGTATTTGATGCACATTTCCTGAGTTGTTTTACAGATGTGAAAACCCCCCACCAAATGGAAGATGTTAACTACTTGATGACCATGAGCACATGGGCCCAGGCCTACTGGAGCCTAAGGACTGATAATGTTAACCCCTGTGACACCACCCTGTTATCTCACCATCAGCCAATCGGAGAACTGTGCATGAGCTGATCACTTACCCTTTGACCCACCTCCCTCACCTGGCTTTTTTTTTTTTTTTTTTGGCTGCGTTGGGTCTTTGTTGCTGCGCACAGGCTTTTCTCTAGTTGAGGTGAGCAGGGGCTACTCTTTGTTGCGGTGCGTGGACTTCTCCTTGCGGTGGCTTCTCTTGTGGTGGAGCACAGGCTCTAGGCACGCGGGCTTCAGTAGTTGTGCCTCTTGGGCTCTAGAGTGCAGGCTTGGTAGTTGTAGCACATGGGCTTAGTTGCTCCGCGGCATGTGGGATCTTCCCAGACCAGGGATCGAACCCATGTTCCCTGCATTGGCAGGCGGATTCTTAACCACTGAGCCACCAGGGAAGCCCCCCTCACCTGCTTTTTTTTTTTTTTTTTTTTTTTTTTTTGCGTACACAGGCCTCTCACCGCTGTGGCCTCTCCTGTTGCAGAGCACAGGCTCTGGATGCGCAGGCTCAGCGGCCATGGCTCACGGGGCCAGCCGCTCCATGGCACTTGGGATCCTCCTGGACTGGGGCACGAACCCGCGTCCCCTGCATGGGCCGGCGGAATCTCAACCACTGTGCCACCAGGGAAGCCCCCCTCACCTGCTTTTAAAAGTGCTTTGCCAAAACCCTTCCGGGAGCTCGGGGCTTTTTAGGGAATGAGACACCTATCTCCTTGCATGGCCCTGCAATGAACCTTTCTCTGCTCCAAACTCCGATGTTTCAGTTTGTTTGGCTTCACTGTGCATCGGGCACATGAACTTGTGCTAATAATTCAGTGGGAATTTTTAGGACTTTAAACCCAGGAGGCAGCATCTCAAGTAGCCATGATAGAACTGCTCCGAGGAGGTGAGGGGGGAGCTAGGATATATCGGAGTTTTGCAACAAAGGGCAGGAGTAGGGAACATCAAAAGATTATTTTTGCCCACCCCCGCCAAAGCCTCCTCTGGCTGAGCCCCACCCCTGCCAAGGCCTCCTCTGGCCATGTGGGTCCCAGTGGACCTGAGCACTGCCACCCCCCCATAGCCTCCATGGGCCACGTGGGTCCAGGCGGGCCGAGCACCACGCGCCTCCAAAGCCTCCTCCAGCTGTGCCGTTCCCTGCAGACACACCCATGGAAGCCAGCGGCCCAGCCAGCCTGTGCAGGCACATGCGCTCCAGGTCAGCTTCAGGGGCATACACTGCTGAAAGGAACACACACAGAGGTGGTGCTGACACAGCAGGTTCAGAGACCTACCTAGAGGTCTTGGAGGCCCTCCTGGGGACGCAGGGGTTGGATGTAGCTCACCATGGTGGCAAGGACACTAATAGCAAAGGCACCAGGGAATTTTATTTTAATATTTTTCCAATTTTTTTCTAATTTTGTTTTTTGCTGTTGTGTTTTGTTGTTTCAATTTTACTTTTCTAATTTTATTTTATTTTTTATGCTTTGTTATTGTTATGCTCTTTTTTGTTGTTGTCTGTTTTGTTTTTTGGGGTTTTTTTCTCCCCTCTGCATGGCTTGCAGGGTCTTGGTTCCCAGGCCAGGGGTTGGGCCTGAGCCCCTGTGGTGGGAGTGCTGAGTCCAAGCTGCTGGAATAACAGAGTACTTCAGGCCCCAGGGAATATTAATAGGTGGGAGCTCTCCCAGAGGTCCTCATCTTGGCACCAAGATCTGGCTCCACCCAACTGCCTGCAAACTCCAGGGCTGGATATCTCAGACCAAACAACCAGCAAGACAAGAACACAGCCCCACCCATCAACAAAAAAGAGATGACAGAGAAATATGTTACAGATGAAGGAGAAAGGTAAAAACCTACAAGACCAAATAAATGGAGAGGAAATAGGTAATCTACCTGAAAAAGATTCAGAGTAATGATAGTAAAGATGATCCAAGATCTCGGAAATAGAATGGAGGCACGGATGGAGAAAATACAATAATGTTTAACAAGGACCTAGAAGAACTAAAGAACAAACAGTGATGAACAACACAACTGAAATGAAAAATACACTAGAAGGACTCAATACCAGAATTACTGTGCAGAAGAACAAATAAGTGAACTGGAAGACAGAATGGTAGAAATAACTGCTGAAGAGTAGAATAAAGAAAAAAGAATGAAAAGAATTGAGGACAGTCTCAGAGACCTCTGGGACAACATTAAACACATCAACATTCAAATTATAGGGGTCCCAGAAGAAGAAGAGAAAGATAAAGGGTCTGAGAAAATATTTGAAGAGATTATAGTCGAAAACTTCCCTAACATGGGAAAGGAAATAGCCACCCAAGTCCAGGAAGCACAGAGAGTCCCATACAGGAAAAACCCAAGGAGAAACATGGCAAGACACATATTAATCAAACTAACAAAAATTAAATTCAAAGAAAAAATATTAAAAGCAGCAAGGGAAAGCAACAAATAACATACAAGGGAATCCCCATAAGGTTATCAGCTGATTTTTCAGCAGAAACTCAGCAGGTCAGAAGAGAGCAGCAGGATATATTTAAAGTGATGAAAGGGAAAAACCTACAACCAAGTTTACTCTACCCAGCAAGGATATCATTCAGATTTGATGGAGAAATCTAAAGCTTTACAGACAAGCAAACACTAAGAGGATTCAGCACCACCAAACCACCTTTACAACAAATGCTAAAGGAACTTCTTTAGGTGGGAAACACAAGAGAAGAAAAAGACCTACAAAAAAACCCCCCAAAACCATTAAGAAAATGGTAATAGGAACATACATATCGATAATTACCTTAAATGTAAATGGATTAAATGCTCCAAACAAAAGACACAGACGAGCCGAATGGATACAAAAACAAGACCTGTATATATGCTGTCTACAAGTGATCCACTTCAGACCTAGGGACACATACAGGCTGAAAGTGAGGGGGTGGAAAAAGATATTCCATGCAAATGGAAATCAAAAGAAAGCTGGAGTAGCAATACTCATCAGATGAAATAGACTTTAAATAAAGACTCTTACAACAGATAAGGAAGGACACTACATAATCATCAAGGGATCAATCCAAGAAGAAGATATAGCAATTATAAATATTTATGCACCCAACATAGGAGCACATCAATACATAAGGCAAATGCTAACAGCCATAAAAGGGGAAATTGACAGTAACACAATAATAGTGGGGGACTTTAACACCCCACTTACACCAATGGACAGACCATCCAGACATAAAATTAATAAGGAAACACAAGCTTCAAGTGACACATTAGACCGGATAGGCTTAATTGATATTTATAGGACATTCCATCCAAAAACAGCAGAAAACACTTTCTTCTAAAGTGCACATGGAACATTCTCCAGGACAGATCACATCTTGGGTCACAAATCAAGCCTCGGCAAATTTAAGAAAATTGAAATCATATCAAGCATCTTTTCCGACCACAATGCTATGAGATTAAAAATCAATTACAGGGAAACAAACTGTAAAAAACACAAACACATGGAGGCTAAACAGTATAGTACTAAATAACCAAGAAGTCACTGAAGAAATCAAAGTGGAAATCAAAAAATACCTAGAAACAAATGACAACAAAAACACGACAACCCAAAACCTATGGGATGCAGCAAAAGTGGCTCTAAGAGGGAAGTTTATAGCAGCACAATCCTACCTCAAGAAACAAGAAAAATCTCAAATAAACAACCTAACCTTACACCAAAAGCAACTAAAGAAAGAAGAACAAACAAAACCCAAAGTTAGTAGAAGGAAAGAAATCATAAAAATCAGAACAGAAATAAATGAAATAGAAACAAAGAAAACAACAGCAAAGATCAATGAAACTAAAAGTTGGTTCTTTGAGAAGGTAAAAGAAATTGATAAACCTTTAGCCAGACTGATCAAGAAAAAGAGGGACAGAACTCAAACAAATAAAATTAGAAGTAAAAAAGAAGAAATTACAACTGACACCACAGAAATACAAAGGATTATAAGAGACTACTACAAGCAACTACATGCCAATGAAATGGATAACCTGGAAGAAATGGACAAATTCTTAGAAAGGTACAACCTTCCAAGACTGAACCAGGAAAAAATAGAAAATATGAACAGACCAATCACAAGTAATGAAATTGAAACTGTAATAAAAAATCTTCCAACAAACAGAAGCCCAGGACCAGATGGCTTCACAGGTGAATTCTATCAAACATTTAGAGAAGAGCTAACACCCATCCTTCTCAAATTCTTGCCAAACATTGCAGATGAAGGAACACTCCCAAGCTCATTCTATGAGGCCATCATCACCCTGATACCAAAACCAGACAAAGATATCACAAAAGAAAGAAAATTACAGACCAATATCACTGATGAACATAGACGCAAAAATCTTCAACAAAATACTAGCAAATAGAATCCAACAACACATTAAAAGGATCATATACCATGGTCAAGTGAGATTTATCCCAGGGATGCAAGATTCTTCAATATATGCAAATCAATCAATGTGATACACCATATTAACAAATTGAAGAATAAAAACTGTATGATCATCTCAACAGATGCAGAAAAAGCTTTTTACAAAATTCAACACCAATTTATGATTAAAAAAACTCTCCAGAAAGTGGGCATAGAGTGAAACTACCTCAACATAATAAAGGCCATATATGACAAATCCAGAGCAAAATCATTCTCAGTGGTGAAAAATTGAAAGCATTTCCTCTAAGATCAGGAACAAGACAAGGATGTCCACTCTCACCACAATTATTCAACATAGTTTTGGAAGTCCTAGCCATAGCAATCAGAGAAGAAAAAGAAACAAAAGGAATCCAAATTGGAAAAGAAGAAGTAAAACTGTCACTGTTTGCAGATGACATGACACTATACATAGAAAATCCTAAAGATGCCACCAGAAAACTACTGGTGCTAATCAATTAATTTGGTAAAGTTGCAGGATACAAAACTAATGCACAGAAATCTCTTGCATTCCTATACACTAGCAACAGAAGATCAGAAGGAGAAATTACGGAAACAATCTCATTTACCATTGTCATAAAAAGAATAAAATACCTAGGAGTAAACCTACCTAAGGAGACAAAAGACCTCTACTCAGAAAACTATAAGATACTGATGAAGGAAATCAAAGACAACACAAACAGATGGAGCGATATACCCTGTTCTTGGATTTGAAGAATCAGTATTTGAAAATGACTATACTTCCCAAAGCAATCAACAGATTCAATGCAACCCCTATCAAATTACCAGTGGCATTTTTCACAGAATTAGAACAAAAAATGTTACAATTTGTATGGAAACACGAAAGACCCTGAATAGCCAAAGCAATCTTGAGAAAGAAAAATGGAGCTGGAGGAATCAGGCTCCCTGACTTCAGACTATACTACAAGGCTACAGTAATCAAGACAGTATGGTACTTGCACAAAAGCAGAAATATAGATCAATGGAACAGGATAGAAAGCCCAGAGATAAACCCACGCACCTATGGTCACCTCATCTATGACAAAGGAGGCAAAAATATACAATGGACAAAAGACAGTCTCTTCAATAAGTGGTGCTGGGAAAACTGGACAGCTACATGTAAAACAATGAAATTAGATCACTCCCTAACACCATACACAAAAATAAACTCAAAATGGATTAAAGACCTAAATGAAAGGTTGGACACTATGAAACTCTTAGAGGAAAACATAGGCAGAATACTCTATGCCATAAATCACAGCAATATCCTTTTTGACCCACCTCCTAGAGAAATGGAAATAAGAACAAAAATAAACAAATGGGACCTAATGAAACTTAAAAGCTTTTGCACAGGAAAGGAAACCATAAACAAGACGAAAAGACAACCCTCAGAATGGGAGAAAATATTTGCAAATGAAGCAACTGACAAGGGATTAATCTCCAAAATATACAAACAGCTCATGCAGCTCAATATCAAAAAACAAACAACCCAGTCAAAAACTGGGTGGAAGACCTAAATAGACTTTTCTCTAAAGAAGACATACAGATGACCAAGAGGCACATGAAAAGATGCTCAACATCACTAATTATTAGAGAAATGCAAACCAAAACTAAAATGAGGTACCACCTCATACAGGTCAGAACGGCCTTCATCAAAAAATCTACAAACAATAAATGCATGAGAGGGTGTGGAGAAAAGGGAACCCTCTTACACTATTGGTGGGTATGTAAATTGATATAACCACTATGGAGAACAGTATGGAGGTTCCTTAAAAAACTAAAAATAGTACTACCATATGACCCAGCAATCCCACTCCTGGGCACATACCCAGAGAAAACCATAATTCCAAAAGATACATTCATCCCAATGTTCATTGCAGCACTATTTACAATAGCCAGGACATGGAAGCAACCTAAATGTCCATCAACAGAGGAATGGATAAAGAAGATGTGGTACATATATACAATGGAATATTACTCATCCATAAAAAGCAACAAAACTGTGCCGTTTGCAGAGACGTGGATGGACCTAGAGACTGTCATAAAGAGTGAAGTAAGTCATAAATAGTAAAACAAATATCATTAACACATATGTGGAATTTAGAAAAATGGTACAGATGAACCTATTTGCAAAACAGAAATAGAGACACAGACATAGACAACAAATGTATGGACACCAAGGGGGAGGGGATGGGTGGCATGGATTGGGAGATTGACATTGACGTATGTACACTACTATGTATGAAGTAGATGGCTGGTGAGGGCCTACTGCATAGCACAGGGAAGAAAAAAAAGAAGGTACAATCTGTTTTCAGGACATATATTGAGTTAACCTTAAAAATGCATTTCAATATACATTGGGAGCAGACAAATACTGTTTGATTCCACTTATACGAGGTAACTAGAATAGTCAAATTCATAGAGTCAGAAAGTACATTGGGAGATGCCAGGGGCGGGGGTGGGGTGGGGGGATGGGGAGTGGGAAAGGGGAGTTAGTGTTTAATGGGGACAGAGTTTCAGTTTAGGAAGGTGAAAAATTCGGGAGGTGGATGATGGTGAGAGTTGCACAACAGTGTGAATGTACTTAGTGCCACTGAACTGTACAGTTAAATATGGTTAAAATAGTATGTTTTATATTATGTGACTTTTACCACAATAAAAAAAAACATTAAAAAAAGATAGGGCTTCCCTTGTGGCGCAGTGGTTGAAAGTCTGCCTGCTGATGCAGGGGATGCGGGTTCGTGCCCCGGTCCGGGAGGATCCCACATGCTGTGGAGCGGCTGGTCCCGTGAACCATGGCCTCTGAGCCTGTGCGTCCGGAGCCTGTGCTCTGCAATGGGAGAGGCCACGACAGTGAGAGGCCCGTGTACCACAAAAAAAAAAAAAAAAGATAACCAGGGTATATTAAGTAAAAAAGCAAAAAAAAAAAAAAAAAGATTATTGTTAATTAAAGAGAACCAGATATCCCAAGTTAGGGAATTTAGCACTTTTCTATGTATGGGAAGATGCAAGAGTCTGAGCTCACTGAAATCATTCCTTTGATATGTACCTCAGCTATCTGGGGCCAGTATCCTGTGTTTTCACATCCGGAGTTTCCTCATGGTCTGATGGCTGCTAGATGGCAGGTATTCTTTCCTTCCTGAGTTTCCTCAGGGCTCACCAGCTCCTGTTGGAGGGCTGCAATCGCTGATGACTGTGACATCCTTTGTCTACTGATATGGCAGGAAATATCCCATTTCTCGATGCCAGAACAACATACCAATCATTAAAATATCGAAACATTTCTACATCAGTTGGTAAATAGCCACTTCCCCAAGTGCCACCTGCCACCCTGCTCCCACCACCAGGACTCCCTGGATTCCTGAACCACCAAGTGGAATCACCCCTGCTCCTCTGCCTCTGGCGTGACACATCAGGGAGCTTTCAGGACCGGCAACTGGCCTGCAACTGTTCTGATGGGTTGGTGCCTGTGCTATTGTGGTTGTTAAATGTTTGAAGCATCACCCCTGGTGTTGGACACTGAAAGCACAGCAACTGCTATGTGTTTGCTTGTGCAGGGGAAGAGCGGTTATGATCCACAGGAAGAGGCCTGCCCCAACCCACCATGGGCAGTCACATGAGAAACCTGTTTTTTCCTTTCTCCCTCCTCCCTGAAACTCACACCAGAGAAGCAATCACAGGAAGGGGGTGAGTGTGTCAGAGCTCCCTCCCTGCCCCTAGCAGCTGGAGCTTTAAGTCTGCCTTTCATGGAGTCATGGAGTGGGGCTGGGAAAGAGTCTTGAGTCAAATGTGAAACTGAAACTTTAACTAATTGAGGTCAATTCAGTCATTAAAGGTGACGGAGGGCTTCCTTGGTGGTGCAGTGGTTGAGAATCCGCCTGCCAATGCAGGGGATACTGGTTCGAGCCCTGGTCCAGGAAGATCCCACATGAAGCAACTAAGCCCGTGCGCCACAACTACTGAGCCCACGTGCCACAGATACTGAAGCCCGCGCCTAGAATCCGTGTTTCATAACAAGAGAAGCCACCGCAATGAGAAGCCAGTGCACTGCAATGAAGAGTAGCCCCTGGTCGCCGCAACTAGAGAAAGCCCGTGTGCTCAACACAGCCATAAATAAATAAATAAATAGATAAATAAATTTATTTTTAAAAAAGTGATAGAAATAGTGGGGTAGGGATGGGTGGAAAGGTGAAAGGAATCTACTCCCTTGATCCAGGCGCTGACCTTCTGTCTGCTATTGCCCATCTCTGGCACATCTCCTTCTCCCTGGCCCTGGAATGCTCAGCCACTGAGCCCAGGGCAGGCCCTGTCCTTTGGCCACACACACACACACACACACACACACACACACACACACACACACACCCTAGCATGCCTGGTTGCCTCTTAAGACGTCTAAGAACCTTTGGGAATACCAGAACAGATCAAGGCATGTAGGGGCCAGCCTGGCCATTAAAGGAGGTGAGCTGCCATGTGGCCCCATGGCCTCAGTCTCTACTTGTGGAAATACCTGTCTCAAGTTGTGCTGATCAGATGCCATCTCTGGGAATTTGGAATTTTGAGTGGAGAGGCACAGAAATCTCAGTGTCAATGGACCAGAAGCCCTTTGATGGTGGTGCTCTAGGAAGAAAGCCCTGTGATCTCTTGCTGGGGCAGGGGAGGGAGTGTCTCTAAGTCTGCCCTTGTGGCAATTTCTTGGCTGTTCAACCCTGTCTTGGAATCCATGATCTATCCTTGACCCTTCTAATGTTCATCCCCTGCTCGCCCCTCCTACCTTCTGCCTTTTTCCCCTTAAGTTAGCCAGAGCTAGTTCCTATGGCTTGCAGCCAAACCACTCTCAACTAATAAAGGCCATGTAAGGTGAGAGACAGGAGATGCAATGAGAAGGAGTGCCAGCAGAGCACACTCTGGGCTCACTTTGAAGGGGCCTTTGAGTGGTCTCAAAGGTTCTGGAGGCCTTTGAAGGGAAGACGGGTGGCTCTTCCTTTATGTATTTATTCTAGCAAGGACAGGGAGGGTGCATGAGGAGATGGTGAAGTGGAAGTTGGGCCCTCTGTTTCAATCATATCTACATCATTCACTTTACTCGCTGTGTGACCTTGTGCGGGTCACCTAACCTCTCTGGTTTCCTCATTTGTAAAACTGAGATAAAACTAGAACCTACCTTACAAGGTTGTTGTGAGGATTAAATGCAACAATGCATCTTTTATTTATTTATTTATTTTATTTTAATGTATCTTTTTTTAAAAAAATTTAAGTATAATTGATTTACAATATTGTATTAGTTTTAGTTATACAGCAAAGTGATTCAGTTATACATTATATATATATTTTTCAGATTCTCTTCCATTGGAATTCTCTTCCATTCCATTCCCTGTGCTATACAGTAAATCCTTATTGTTTATTTTATATATAGTGGTATATATCTGTTAATCCCATACTCCTAATTTATCCCTCCCCTCACCCTCTTTCTCTTTTGGTAACCATAAGTTTGTTTTCTATGTCTGTGAGTGTGCAACAATGCATCTTAAGTGCTTAGGAAAAGGCCAGAGATAGAGCCAGAAAATAACAAGTAACAACAAAAGAGGGTGACTGGACAGTGGTCACTGACTTCAGACGCTTCTAGAGAACAGAGATGTTATGGGGGTGGGAGGCTTGGTGCAGAGGAGGAGGATGGGAAGAGGTGGAAGATTCTGAGGTCAAAGTTTGGTGGAACAATCTGGAAAAGGGAAATGGGGACACCTTCTCCTTTGAGGTGAAGGGAAGGGCAATTAGGACAAACACTGGAAAAATTGCAGGTAGGCGTGTAAGTCAAGAGACTTCCTTCCCTCACACAGGCCTCCAGTCTTCGTGAAGCAGCCCATCTGCTCAATGAGGGGCTGGATGAGGAAGGTTCAGCTCCTCCACATTCACAAGCCTGGTCCTCCTTTTTCATGTGAGTCCTATGTCATTCTCCTCTTAACTTGCATCATTTATTCATTCATTTAATACATATTTTTGGATTAAATGTACTAATACTAAGTACTAAACTCTGGGTATACAAATGTGAACCAGACTGTATTAGCCAGGGTTCTTGAGAGAGACAGAACTAAAAGCAATTTATCTATCTATCTATCTATCTATCTGTCTACCTACCTACAGAGAGAGAGAGAGAGAGAAAGGGAGAAGGAATGGCTCCTACCTTTATGCAGGCTGAGAAATCCCAAGATCTGCAGCCAGCAAGCTGGGGACCCAAAAGAGCCTATGGTGTAAGTCCCAGTCCTAGTCTGAATCTGAAGGCAGAAGCAGACCAATGTCCCAGCTCAGAGATAGTCAGGAGAGAGAGCAAATTCTCCCTCAGCTTTTTGTTCTATTCAAACCTTAGTGGGTTGGATGAGGCCCACCACTATGGGAAGGGCAATCTGCTTTACTGAGTCCATTACGTCAAATACTAACCTCATCCAGAAACACACTTGCAGACACACCCTATATGGCCCTGTCCAGTTGACACATGAAATTTACCATCATGAAGACCAACATGGCAACCCCTCTCACGGAGCTTACAGCCAAACAGACATAAAGTTACCAATAATTATGTAACTACACATTGTTGTCACAATATGCCATGAGGGAAATGACAGGATGCTTGACCGAGTAAGCGGGAGCGGAATTCGGTGCCAGACTGGAGGTGTGGGGAAACGCCTCCACGAAGATGGCATCTAAAGGACTGGAAGTGGCAGGCTGCATGAGAGAAGAGGAGGAGTGTGCCAGGCAGAGGGACTGCATGGGCAGAGACCTTGAGGTGAGGAAGAGTGACTTCTCACATGAGCTCAGAGGAGACCTTTATGGCTGGAGAGAAGTGTCTTTGCTGCGAGAAGACCACGGCCAGGAGTTTGGATTTTATCCCAAGTGCCATCAGACTGTTTTGTGGCTGCGGGTGAGTAACGTGAACAGCCTGAGTCACACTTTTAGGGATTACTTGGGCTTCTAGGTGTTGAGTGGGTTGGGGGCCTGAGAGCTGGAGTGGCTGAGGGGATGGAGGTCTGGACCGGAAGTGCTGGTACCCGATGGAGACGGGTAAGCAGATAAGAGCTGTTGGGAGAAGAGTCTGCAGACCTGCTCCCACGACCTCCCACACCTAGAACATGGGAGGTGATTGGGAGCCTCGCCCATCATTCCAGATATTGGGGGCATCTGGGTGCTGGGTGCAGGGAAGGTGCCTGTGCATTAGGGTTCTGGGGGTGAGTGGTGAAGCCTGAGGGGAGCCAACCCATGGAGAGTGAAGTGCTAAGCTCATTCCTCTCTTCCTGGTAGACAACAGGTAGCTAGACTGAGTTTCAAGGGCACTTCTGGATCTGAGTTCCAGCTCCTGCTCTTGGGTGAGCATGTAGGAAGGGAAAGAGCAGGCTTCAGGAGGCTTCAGGACAGGTCTGAATGGAATCCCAACTCTGCCCTATACTCTCTACTGGGGCTTCACTGATGCCTGGTGTCCTCCTTTCAGAAGCAGGATTAATCATGGTCCCAGGACCCTCCTACACTGTTGGTGGAAATGTAAATTGGTGTAGCCACTATGGAAAACGCTATGGAGGTTCCTCAAAAAACTAAAAATAAAGTTGCCATATGGTCCTGCAATCCCACTCCTGGGCATATACCCAGACAAAACTATAATTTGAAAAGATCTATGCACCCCTACGTTCATAGAAGCACTGTTTGCAATAGTCAAGATATGGAAACCACCTAAATGTCCATCAACAGAGGAATGGATAAAGAAGATGTGGCACACACACACACGCACACGCACACACACACACACAATGGAATAATAGCCATAAAAAAGAACGAAATGATGCCATTTGCAGCAACATGGATGGAAGTAGAGATTGTCATACTAAGTGAAGTAAGTCAGAAAGAGAAAGACAAATACCATATGAGATCACCTATATGTGGAATCTAAAATATGACACAAGTGAGCTTATGTATGAAGCAGAACCAGACTCAAACATAGAGAACAGACTTGTGTTTGCCAAGGGGAGAGGAGGGAAGGATTGGGAGTTTGGGATTAGCAGGTGCAAAGTATTATATATAGGATGGATAAACAACAAGATCCTACTGTATAGCACAGGGAACTATATTCAATATCCTGTGATAAACCATAATGGAAAAGAATATCAAAAAGAATGTATGTATATATATGACTGAATCATCTTGCTGTACCGCAGAAATTAACACAACATTGTAAATCAACTATACTT